CCTAGGTTTTTGGTAAAAAATGGGCGATTTTCCAAAAATATTTGTTCAAAGGTCTGCCATTTTGTTAATTTTAGAGCGAAGTCAATAATAGTTCATACGAGAGCCAGACATGTACTCTTTCTAACACCGTTGGAATTTTCGGATTCCGATGTTCCAGTGAGGAGTTATCATGCCCGCCATCAAAAATAAGGACTTTTCTTTGATCACAAAAAACAACAACAAAACAACAACAAACATTTTTTGTAAATTATTTTTCTTCCTTTTTAAATCTTCAAATATATATGTGCAAAGTTACAAACCTTAACATGCATTGGTATTCATTTACCAGCCCATTTAAAATCTTAAAAATAAAAAATCGAGAATGGGGGTTCCCTTAAAAAAATATTTTTTTAAACATAATTGTCGTATCCTAGTTCATAACAGAAACAGTGATGTTCTCTTCGATTTCCGATGCAATTTTTGGTTGCTGATATTCCAGTGATGCGAAATCAAGTCCGCCGTCGAAAAGAAGGGGTTTCTTAAAATACAAACAAATAAGAATTCAATAAAATTATTTCAGTTAATTTTCTAATCGTTTAAGACTTCAAAGTAGTATTCTCTTGAAATCGAAAAATTAAAAAAATTACTTACCCTTTCAAAAATGATCCAATCATTTTAAAAATAAAATCACACATCTTCTAACATAAATATTGGCATTTTTATTTATTATTTGTTCATGATTTTTATTTAATTTCTTTACATTCTTTCTTATTTGAAATAAAATACATATTTTCTATACTTCAAATTACTATAAACTATTTTCATAATTACAAACAATAAAAAAATAGTTTCATTATAGCATTTCAGTGGATATGTTTGTGTTGGTTAAAAGACATATATTTACAAAAGTAGTACTTTGGCAGAATTGTTGTTTTTTTATTTTTTTAATTAATAATAAATTTGTAAACATATATTTTTTAGAAGTAATATTCGATCGTTTTTATATGAAGTAACTATTTCAGTTTTAATTTTTTTATAAAATTTATATTTTATAATATTATTTGCTCTATAAAAATATATTTTGATGTTCATCTACACAGTTATTTCTTAAGTAGATAATATTTGAATTTTATGTATAAGAAAATAAATAAGGCCACAATTTACTTTTAAAGGCTTTTTTCCATTAATAAAAATGGATAAAAAAATAGAATGTCAGTTATTTTAAATACATACATATATATAAAATGTAAGTAAGTACATTTAAAACATATATAATAATTAAGCAAATTATATTCCCTTATTGGACCGTATTGAATAGCTATTTTTTATGGAAGCTCTTATTTAATTTATATTTTCTTATATTTAGAAAACTAAAATTTTCGAATTCTTTATTTAATTTTTTTTGCGCTTTAAATAAAAATTGTCAACGGACTTCGACCTCAAGACCAGACCATAAATCATTTGATCAAATATTGACTCTTATAAAACATAAGACCTTACGTGTAGATTTTTCGAATTCCAATTTTTTATATAAACTCCACTATTCGAATATTTTTTGAATAGGTACGGAATCGATCCGCACTGCAGCGTACGGTTAAGTGGTGACCACCGCAATTTTTTAGCACTAAAATTTGGTTCACTTCTTTTTATGTGATGTTATAAAAATTATTGTCGTTAACTAAAAAAAATATATTTAATTTTTTCCTCTGCTAGGAAAAAATTTCAATATAAACTAAAAATTTTCATTATTAATGTTGGCTTAAATATAAAAAGGCAATCTAGTGATTTATGGGTAAATCAAAGGCTTTAATGGGTTGGAAGTCAAAAATATCAAGGGCTTACTCTTCGAAAATGTCCTAATTAAGAATAATGGCCTAATTTTTGGTTTGCCTTTGGTCTCTATAAAAACCAATTGGGCTTATAGAATCCAATTAGCCATTATACACCCCTGTGGCCTCTCCACAGACCAATTGGTCTTTATAAAGACCTGCGGTCTCTATACAGACCAATTGGTCTTTATAAAGACCTGCGGTCTCTATACAGACCAATTGGTCTTTATAAAGACCTGCGGTCTCTATACAGACCAATTGGTCTTTATAAAGACCTGCGGTCTCTATACAGACCAATTGGTCTTTATAAAGACCTGCGGTCTCTATACAGACCAATTGGTCTTTATAAAGACCTGCGGTCTCTATACAGACCAATTGGTCTCTATACAGACCAATTGGTCTTTATAAAGACCTGCGGTCTCTATACAGACCAATTGGTCTTTATAAAGACCTGCGGTCTCTATACAGACCAATTGGTCTTTATAAAGACCTGCGGTCTCTATACAGACCAATTGGTCTTTATAAAGACCTGCGGTCTCTATACAGACCAATTGGTCTTTATAAAGACCTGCGGTCTCTATACAGACCAATTGGTTTATATAAAAACCTGCGGTCTCTATACAGACCAATTGGTCTATATAAAGACCTGCGGTCTCTATACAGACCAATTGGTTTTTATAAAGATCTGCGGTCTCTATACAGACCAATTGGTCTTTATAAAGACCTGCGGCCTCTATACAGACCAATTGGTCTTTATAAAGACCTGCGGTCTCTATACAGACCAATTGGTCTTTATAAAGACCTGCGGTCTCTATACAGACCAATTGGTCTTTATAAAGACCTGCGGTCTCTATACAGACCAATTGGTCTTTATAAAGACCTGCGGTCTCTATACAGACCAATTGGTCTTTATAAAGACTGCGGCCTCTACAGACCAATTGGTCTTTATAAAGACCTGCGGTCTCTATACAGACCAATTGGTCTTTATAAAGACCTGCGGTCTCTCTACAGACCAATTGGTCTATATAAAGACCTGCGGTCTCTATACAGACCAATTGGTCTATATAAAGACCTGCGGTCTCTATACAGACCAATTGGTCTATATAAAGACCTGCGGTCTCTATACAGACCAATTGGTCTATATAAAGACCTGCGGTCTCTATACAGACCAATTGGTCTTTATAAAGACCTGCGGTCTCTATACAGACCAATTGGTCTTTATAAAGACCTGCGGTCTCTATACAGACCAATTGGTCTTTATAAAGACCTGCGGTCTCTATACAGACCAATTGGTCTTTATAAAGACCTGCGGTCTCTATACAGACCAAATTGGTCTTTATAAAGACCTGCGGTCTCTATACAAACCAAATTGGTCTTTAAAAAGACCTGCGGTCTCTATACAGACTAAATTGGTCTTTATAAAGACCTGCGGTCTCTATACAGACCAATTGGTCTTTATAAAGACCTGCGGTCTCTATACAGACCAATTGGTCTTTATAAAGACCTGCGGTCTCTATACAGACCAATTGGTCTTTATAAAGACCTGCTGTCTCTATACAGACCAATTGGTCTTTATAAAGACCTGCGGTCTCTATACAGACCAATTGGTCTTTATAAAGACCTGCGGTCTCTATACAGACCAATTGGTCTTTATAAAGACCTGCGGTCTCTATACAGACCAATTGGTCTTTATAAAGACCTGCGGTCTCTATACAGACCAATTGGTCTTTATAAAGACCTGTGGTCTCTATACAGACCAATTGGTCTTTATAAAGACCTGCGGTCTCTATACAGACCAATTGGTCTTTATAAAGACCTGCGGTCTCTATACAGACCAATTGGTCTTTATAAAGACCTGCGGTCTCTATACAGACCAATTGGTCTTTATAAAGACCTGCGGTCTCTATACAGACCAATTGGTCTATATAAAGACCTGCGGTCTCTATACAGACCAATTGGTCTATATAAAGACCTGTGGTCTCTATACAGACCAATTGGTCTATATAAAGACCTGCGGTCTCTATACAGACCAATTGGTCTATATAAAGACCTGCGGTCTCTATACAGACCAATTGGTCTATATAAAGACCTGCGGTCTCTATACAGACCAATTGGTCTTTATAAAGACCTGCGGTCTCTATACAGACCTTTATAAAGACCTGCGGTCTTATAAAGACCTGACCTGCGGTCTCTATACAGACCAATTGGTCTTTATAAAGACCTGCGGTCTCTATACAGACCAATTGGTCTTTATAAAGACCTGCGGTCTCTATACAGACCAATTGGTCTTTATAAAGACCTGCGGTCTCTATACAGACCAATTGGTCTTTATAAAGACCTGCGGTCTCTATACAGACCAATTGGTCTTTATAAAGACCTGCGGTCTCTATACAGACCAATTGGTCTTTATAAAGACCTGCGGTCTCTATAAAGACCTGCGGTCTCTATACAGACCAATTGGTCTTTATAAAGACCTGCGGTCTCTATACAGACCAATTGGTCTTTATAAAGACCTGCGGTCTCTATACAGACCAAATGGTCTTTATAAAGACCTGCGGTCTCTAATTAGTATTTATAAAGCCCCAGTGGTAAAGACCTGCGGTCTCTATACAGACGAAGGTCAATTGTCCTTCAGCTCGTCTATTTAGACTCTCTGACCCTCAGCTCGTCTATTTAGACTCTCTGATTGTCAACTCGTCTATTTATACTCCCTGACCTTCAGCTCGTCTCTTTAGATTACCTGACTCTCAGCTCGTCTGTTTAGACTCCCTGAACTTCAGCTCTTCTATATAGAATCCCAGATCTTCAGCTCGTCTAGACTCCCTGACCTTCAGCTCGTCAATATAGACCCCGCTGGCCCTCAGCTTTTTTATTGAGACTCTCGGATCTTCAGCTCGTCTATATGGACTCTCTGATCTTCAGCTGGTCTATACTTTATTCATGCTCCCTTCAATTTTTGACTTCCAACCCTTGCCTTGTACCTAGTATTATTTTTGTTTCCGTATATATAACCAAATTTTTATTGGACGGCTTAACCTCAAATATGATGTTTCGTTTCTTATGTATGTGAGTATATTTTTTTCTCTCTCTTTTAAAGCTAAGCTTATGTTTATAAAAAAATGTTCCCTCCCTCGTTCTCTTTATACTAAACTTTGTACATTCTGCAGAGACCTCAAGTAAAACCCATGAACTTTACATTGTGGTCTCCGAATCCGGTGGTGTATGATAATTCAGATTATAAGCGGGTGGGCCATTATTGAGAAAAGCCATGGAGCGTATACTCTCCCGTGATGCTGTACGCTTATGAAAGGGTATCGGTTGGGGTTGTGATGCAACATATGGCAATTCGGGTACGGCTGGTGGTGGTGGAGGCGGTGGTAAATTATGTTGACTTACAGAATGTTGCGTGTGTAGAGGGTGTTGCTGATACAGAGGTGGGGTATGAGGTGGTTCATGTAGTGTTGTTGTTGTCGCGGTGGCTTGTTGATGATACAAATTACTCGTGGTCACTGCATTGGTGGCTGTATTGGCTGAGGTGACCAATGAGGCGAAGACATTTTCCGTTGTACCCGATGAGGTCATATACGATGACATTGGCCGAGTACCATGGAAATTCGAATACGAAGATCGTACAGAGGGTGGTCGATTGTTATAGAGCTCATCGACATGTTCACCATCATTGAGATTGGTGGTGGAATGCTGATAGGTTGGATTATAATGACCTCCAAGGGATGGGGTAACTGTCAAGGTGGGTGATTGTGGTTCCTCACTGGGTGTTGGTGTCGAAGTTGGCCATGGTGGCAAAGTGGGATCATGTAACGTCGGCTGTTGCTGTTGATACAAACTCATTTGCACGGCATTGGTGTTGTAATAAATCGGATCTGGGGGAATATTTTTCCTAAACGATTGATAATGATTGTTGTTGGTCTTGGTCAGACTTCCTCCGGCCACATTGATGTTGTTGTGGATTTCCTTATTTAAACTTTGTAAATTTGCCGAAGTCAACGGTGAATTATCCTTGTGATGGAACGAAGCAAATTGTGGATGTTTGTGATGGCCATGTGACGACTGATGTTGTTGCTGCTGCTGTTGTTGTTGTTGCTGATCTAAAAGTTTTGTCACCGGATTTTGTTGATATTTACGTCGTGAGCTACGTGTACTACTGCGTGAATGTGTACCCGTATGACCCAATGTGGCCACATTTCGTTGACTGCCACTGTGACTGCTACGACTATCAGCCACCTCATCATTATCTCTGCCACCACGACGACTACGTCGACTTGCAGTGGAGGTACGACTATTCGTACCACGATGCATAACCGAACGACGTTTAACACGTCTGGGTGTCATCGGTTTCGGACTTAGCTCACCATTATCACCCTCTGCCCCACCACCACAACGTTCGTGCATCTGATCATCACCATAATCGAGTATTGTATCGGTACGACTGCGCAATGTATCCAAGCTGGGTCCAAATTCGATGGAATACAATGACTGACGATGTTTGGATTTTTTATTAACATGTTTCACTGTAAGAGAGGGGTGGAAATGAAGGGAGGGAGTTATTATTAAATATTATTTGTTTTAATTATTTGTAAAAATAAATGTATGAGAATAAAATAGGAAGTTGGTACAGTCAGGCTATTAAATGATTTTAAGTAACTTTGGAAACTGTTAGAGGGAAGAAAAGAACTCCTTAGGATCGGACCAATATTTTATATCCAATACCATTTCAAAAATTAAGTTTTTTAAATAAAAAAATAGAACACCAATGAAATAACGAAAGTTATTGGAAGATATTTCCTGATCTTCAGCTCGTCTATCGAAAATCCTTGGCAATAAGCTGGTTTTTGATGACATAGATTCCCTGGCCTTCAGTTCATTTACAAAGACTCCTTCAACTTCAGACTAACTATAAAGGCTGCCTAACCTACAGACTTTCAGCTCATCCATAAGGACTCCCTAGAATTCAACTGTTCTATAAAGACTCCCTTACCTTCAGCTCTTCTCCCTGACCTCACAGCTCGTGTATAAATATTCTCTGACCTTCAGCTCGTCTATAAAGACTCACTGGTCTTCCGCTCGTCTATGAAAACTCCCTAACCTGTAGCTCGTGTATTATTACGCTTTGGTCATTAGACGATCTTTGAGGACTTCCAGACCTTTACCGTCTATGAAGACACCTTGGCCTTCTGTTCGTCTACAAAGACTCACAGACCTTCAGCTCGTCTATAAAGACTCCCTGACATTCAGCTCGTCTATAAAGACTTCCTGGTTTTCTGCCCGTCTATAAAGATTCCCTGGCCTTGAGCTCGTCTATAAAGACTCCCTGACTTTCAGCTTGTCTATAAATCTTCCCTATTAAACCTCCTTTGTCTTCAGCTAATCTATAAAGCCTCCCTGACCTTCAGCTCGTCTATAAGGACTTTCTGACCTTCAGCTCGTCTGTAAATACTCCCTGGCCTTCAACCTCGTTTATAAAGACTCACTGGCCGTCAGTTCGTCTATAAAGACTCCCTGTCCTTCAGGTCGTCTATAAAGAATAACAGACCTTCAGCTCGTCTATAAAGACTCCCTGACATTCAGCTCGTCCATAAAGACTCCCTGGCATTCAGCTCGTCTATAAAGACGAGCTGATTTTCTGCCCGTCTGTAAAGATTCCCTGGCCTTGAGCTCGTCTATAGAGACTCCCTGACATTCAGCTTTTCTATAAAGCTTCCCTTTAAACCTCCTTGACCTTCAGCTCGTCTATAAGGACTTCACCTCTTCTATGAAGACTTCAGTTCGCCTATAAACATTCCCTGGTCTTCAGTTCTTCTATAACGACTCTCTAGCCTTCAGCTAGACTATAAAGACTCCCTGACCTACAGCTCGTCTATAAAGGCTTCCTGACCTTCAGCTCATCTGTAAAACCTTAATGGCTTTCAGCTACACTTTAAAGCCTCCCTGACCTTCAGCTCGTCTATGAAGACTACCTGGGCTTCAGTCGGCCTATAAAGACTCCCTGACTTTCAGCTTGTATATAAAGCTTCCCTATTAAACCTCCTTTGTCTTCAGCTAGTCTATTAAGCCTCCCTGACCTTCAGCTCGTCTATAAGGATTTTCTGACCTTCAGCTCGTTTATAAAGACTCCATGACCTTCACCTTGTCTATAAAAACTTCCAGACCTTTAGCTCGTGTATTACTACTCCTTGGTCATCAGATGATCTGGCTTCCTGACCTTCAACTCATCTGTAAAACCTTAATGGCTTTCAGCTACACTTTAAAGCCTCCCTGACCTTCAGCTCGTCTATGAAGACTACCTGGCCTTCAGTCCGCCTATAAAGACTCCCTGACTTTCAGCTCGTCTATAAAGACTTCCTGATCTTCTGCCCATCTATAAAGATTCCCTGGCCTTAAGCTCGTCTATAAAGACTCCCTGACTTTCAGCTTGTCTATAAAGCTTCCCTGTTGAACCTCCTTGGCCTTCAGCTAGTCTATAACGCCTCCCTGACCTTAAGCTCGTCTATAAGGACTTCAGCTCTTCTATCAACACTTCAGTTCGCCTATAAACATTCCCTGACCTTCAGTTCTTCTATAACGACTCTCTGGCCTTCAGCTACACTATAAAGCCTCCCTGACCTTCAGCTCGTCTATAAAGACTTTCTGACCTTCAGCTCGTCTGTAAAGACTCACTGGCCGTCGGTTCGTCTATAAAGACTCCCTGTCCTTCAGCTCGTGTATAAAGATTCCCGGACCTTCAGCTCGTCTATAAAGACTTCCTGACCTTCAGCTCGTATATAAAGACTCCCTGACATTCAGCTCGTTTATAGAGACTCCCTGGCTTTCAGCTTGTCTATAAAGCTTCCCTGTTAAACCTCCTTGGCCTTCAGGACTTCACCCCTTCTATAAAGATTTCAGTTCGTCTATAAACATTCCCTAACCTTCAGTTCTTCTATAACGACTCTCTGACCTTCAGCTAGACTATAATGACTCCCTGGCCTACAGTCCGCCTATAAAGACTCCCTGACCTTCAGCTCGTCTATAAAGACTCACTGACCGTCAGTTCGTCTATAAAGACTCCCGGGCCTTCAGCTCGTGTATAAAGATTCCCTGACCTTCAGTTCGTCTATAAGGACTTCCTGACCTTCAACTCGTCTATAAAGACTCCCTGGCCTTCGACTCGTCTATAAAGACTCCCTGGCCTTCAGCTCGTGTATAAAGATTCCCGGACCTTCAGTTCGTCTATAAGGACTTCCTGACCTTCAGCTCGTCTATAATGACTTCCCTGACCTCCTGCACGTCTATAACATCTTCCTGGTCTTCAGTTTCTATTGATCTTCAGCTCGTCTATAGAGACTCCCTGAATTTCAGCTCGTCTATAATGACTTCCCTGACCTTCTGCACGTCTATAACATCTTCCTGGTCTTCAGTTCGTCTATAAAGACTCCCTGACCTTCAGTTCGTCTATAAAGACTTTATGATCTTCAGTTCGTCTATAAGGACTCCCTGACCTTCAGCTCGTCTATAAAGACTCCCTGACCTTCTGCTACAGAGACTCCCCGACCTTCAGATCGCCAATATATTTTTTTTTCTGCTTGATGTTTTTCTTTTAAATATTTTACAATTATCAGGAACCATCTGTAAAAATATGCATGCAATTAATATTGTACAATTTCCAAAGTTCCTTATAACCAATAATATCTAAATACCATTGACCATTCATAAATACAAAAGGCGAAAACGGTTATAAGGAACTCGTTTCCAAAAAATAATCTAATAAAAATTTTTTCTATAGTCATTTTCGTTATAACCGTTTTCGACCTCCGGATTTTTGTTACCTTTATTTACGTAGAGGGGTTAATAGAGAAGGTCTTAAGTAGTGAAATAATTAATTTTATCAGTTGCTGTTAAGACTACCTTCTAAAAAGATTAGTTACAAATTACAAAATAAAAAATAGAAAAAAGAGAAACAAAAAATGCAAAGCAAAATAACAAAAATATATAAATTAAAAAAAAATAATAATGATTAAAAAATAAAACAACGAAAACATATAAAAGTAAAAATAGTTAATAACAAAGAAAATAATTAATAACAAAGAAAGAAAAATTATCTGCAAAGAATTGTGATTGATATTTTTATAAATAGTATTTAAGTTATTTATTTCCAAGAATTTGAAACCAGAAGAAATGCCCACCGATGAAGTCATTATTCCCTGTAAATTTATTTCTGCATTTAGGCCTAATAAAATATTTTGTATTTAATTTGTTTTTTTTTTAATTTATTATGCCCCCATTTGAATATATGAAATTATTTTGTTGATGTACGTCTTACGTCTTTATTTCGATAACCCCTCATTTATGATTCTTTAATTTGGAATAAAAAATACCACATTTATTTTTAATAATTTCTTTCATTTTTTTATAATTCTCGTTTAATCGTTTATTTAGTTTTTTTTTACTTTTTTCTTTAAATCGCATTATCATTCTTTGTTTTTTTACAAATTAATTAATTTTGTTTATTAATTTTGTTATTATTATTTTTTTAATTTTTTTTATTTATTATTTTTTTAAATTTTTTATAATTATTGTTCATATTTTAACAATAATTGCCTTACAAAAAATACACATAGATTTTTGTTTAAAGTTGATCTTTCTTTTAATATGTTTGTAATTGTTATTTGTTGTATAATTATGGACTTTATTTAAATCGCTATATCTGCAATATAACATTCCGTCATATCCTGTTATGGGAAGGATATTTCGTTTAGATAATTTTTTTTCTGTATTCGTTTCTATCAATAGCTCAATTCTCTTTTAAATAATTATTGCTCTTAACTAAAATTCCAATTTTTTTTTTTATTTTTCAAAATTCCATTCAATAACTCTGTTGCTAGTAAGTAACCTGGCTACCATAAATTGCTATAAATAATTTCAAAGCTTTCCGTATCGTATTGTGAGGTTATGTGAGGTCTGGGAATTTTAGGTAGAAATTAAGATCTTAAAAAAATGTAGATAATTTATATTTTATCCTTCAATTCATTTATAAAATCCGCCTGAACTTTAGCTCGTCTTTAAAGACTCTCTACCTGGGCGTCATTTCGTCCATAAAGGCTCCCTGTCCATTACCTCGACTATTAACCCTTTCAGTGTTTTTGTCGAATATATTCGACATTTAAAAATTCTCTCTTTCTTTGTGATTTTTCGGTTATCCTATGTACCGTTAACATTTATGTTTTTGTTTTTGCTGAAAACCAGACGAAACTGTCCGAGGATTAAAATGAAAATTGCCTTTTTTTCTAAACTCGATGCCTTTATATGATTTTAAGCACAAAATTTTAGATTTTTATTCCGACAAAAATTTTATTTGACACTGAAAGGGTTAAGACTCCCTTCAGATCATCATTAAAGACGTGAGATTGTGGCCAGTGAATTCAGTAATAAATCAAATCATATGCAGACGCCCTGAACTATTTATTTTTTAAACCATTTGCAATTGAAAAGAATCGGCCAGAATTGGGCAACAGGAGAGTTGGTGTGTTCCACCAGG